CAAAAGCCTTTCTTATGATTTGTATAACATATATGACTCACTTAATTGTCTTTGTTTGTGAAAAGTGGTAAGCATCATGTCTGACAGGTGAACAGGACTATAAATCAATAAATATAAAAATAATAATTCTTGCATTTGATATAGCGCTTTTCACATCTTCTAGACATCTCAAAGCGCTTCACAGAATATGCTGTTAAGTGAATTGACTGTATATTTGTGGATGAAACGCAGCAGCCAATTGTGCACCACAGTGTCCCAAAAACAGTTGTGGATCAAGTGACCAAATTATTGAGCTATAATGGACACAGAAGGTGCAACAATGAGACAACAGTGAGACAATGAGCTATAAAGGGCATAGAAGTTGTAACATCTCAATGCCTTTGTGATGTGAGGACAGGAGAATAATCTACATATTCTAAAATAAGTACGGCCAGAATGCAAGGTTCATTTTAAGAGTCCAGGAAGATAATGCCCCATGAGTATGCGAGACAGTATCCAGACTAATATTAATCTGGGTTTGTTGTTGAACACGATACAGTACTTCTTCCTTACAGACAACATAAATCTCAGTTATTATTTTGCCTCCACAACCCGTGAAAGCCTTTCTTCCTGCCTTTGATGAGATCACTTTAAGGTCACTGGCTGGTCCTCTGTTGCTGAGATCCCAGTTGTCATCTCAAAACTTCAACCAGCATTCTGCGGGCACTTAGGTCAGGGCCCAAAATAAAGCTGCTAATTTAAGTCACTGACTCCTGCTGGAATTCAAGTCAGGAGGGTGAAATGCTCACCCCTCCGCAATAATGTTCATGCCAGTGTTTCCGGAACACGTTTGTGGAAACCCGGACCAAATCGGCAGTGCAGGACAATGGAGAAACCGGCAGTAGATCTGTAAGTCCATGTTCTTTTGGAGTTTTGAATTTGCCAGTCCATTGTTAATGCTGATTAAATTGCTGTTCTCGTGAGGAAGGGTTGGGTTACCCAGCATGTGACATTCTTCCCAACTAGCTTGCAAACTGTTGGTTTGATCTGTTGGTATCTGTTTAAATAAATATTTTCTGCCGTGCTTGTCCAAGGAGAGGAAAGCAGGCTGAAGGAATTTCAGTTCCTTTCAGTTTAAAGCTATAATGTGCATGAAAGCACTGGGCATGTGTGCTTAATGCTTAAAACTCACTGGAATTAGCTATTTTAGTGGGTACATACTGTTGCTTTTTAAAAAAAATCCAAACAACTGATTGGGTCACTTAAATTAATGAAGTCAGGTAGTTGACTGATATACCCAAGGCAACAATGAACCTCGGAAAGTATGGATTTGTACACATGAAAATAATGTTAACATTGCTAAGTGAGGCAAGTACATATTACTTACATCAAAGATATTAATTGTGGTATTTGTTTCTCAGTATTTGCCAATATTCTGTTCAATAAATACCAGGGCAATATGATAATAATAATACTCCTTGCATTTGATATTGTGCCTTTTCACAATGTCAAGACATCTCAAAGCACGTCACATGATATTCACTAAACAAGACTTTAGCAAACCTTTAGCACACACAGTTTGCAGATAACTTTGCCCGCTTTGCCGGTGGTAATCTTCATGGGTTATTTTGGGTCTGTCTGGATAGCTGTGTCCTATCTGCAGTTTGATTCTTGCTAACAGCTGTGAGTTACAGGACCTCAGCTGCCATTATTACCCAGTGAAGCAGGCAGTTCTGTGAAGCAGAATGTGGTGTTTTTGCTGTTAATCATGGAGCTGTAAGATTCAATGAATATTCTCTGTGCATCAGTGACAAGAAAAGCATCTAAAGTTTATGTGGAAACAATTAAGTATTGAAAAATTATATCTTGGTAAACTTTTACTGCCTAAGAAAGGTACTTATTGCCATTTTAGCAGGAAATATTACCACAGTATTATGACCCTTTTTTGTAAAAAAATTCAACAAACTGCTTGTTTAAGTGCAAAGTAATGCTTCTAGTTTTGGGAATTTATGATTAATGGAATATTACAGATATTTGATACAGCAAATGAGGCACTATGCAGGACTTGTTCATTAAATCCATTTATAGTAAGGTTTATAGCAAGCTTTGAGGAGTGAAAGTTGTTACCTCTGTGTTAGCTGCAGCTGTGACCACTTACTGCTGCAGTTTCCAGGAGGGCTGGAGTTTTGCACTGTAATGTGGAAGAAATTGGGGCAATGAACGTTGAGGTGAGACAAACCGACTGATCACACTCGTTATTGCATGAGCTTTACTTATTGAGATAGTTTTACATTTAACCAGCAGATAGCTTTAGGCCAAATGACTGGCAAAAATAATAAAATTTAAATATACATGTGCATGTGCTGGGGTATTCTGAGTGCACAATTTTGACTGTGGCGGATTATTTACGAAGTGATCTTTTTGTTTTGATTATCTTGCACTACACATTTAAATGCTCCATTCACGTTTTTTTTGTGAAGCACATGTCTTAAAATCTTATTTGAATGCATTTAACTATCACCATGAAAAAAGTGATTTAAAAATCTTGGTGTTAAGATATTGTGTTGAGCATTAAAAAGGATTGGTTTGTATTTAATTCTGGCACAAAATACTTTGTGGGGTTTGACTCAAACATGAATGCTCCAGTCGAGTCTTTAAACATTAGTTTTCTTTTAAGATGCGAGAGACCTGGGTTCCGTTCCTGGCAGTGTGAAACCTTGGGCAAGTTTCCTTACTCCACACGCCTGATAATAATCCCTCAAAAAAACAATAATAAATTGGTCATATTCATTCCACGACTGTTTGTGGGACACTACTGTGCGCAATTGGCTGCCGCATTTCGCTCACAAATACATAGTCAATTCACTTTACAGTATATTCTGTGAAGCGCTTTGAGAGTCTAGAAGATGTGAAAGTGCTACATCAAATGCAAGGATTATTATTATTATTCCTGATTGTTTTATGCTGTACAATTGTAATTCTCTTTGTTTGTGTTGCTGCTCGCTGTTGTTTCAATACGCCAGAGGGTGGAATCTCACAGTTGCCTCAAAAGCAACAATTGCCTACAGGCTCTTTGAGAGATGTGGGGAATCAAGTTTCCACTATTTTCAATTCAATTGTCTATAGACCTGCAGAAGGCAGACTGTAGCTCAACTTTAAAGGAAAGTTGACACCAACTTTTTAACGTGATTTTGCAGCTAGCGATAAAAATGCAGGTGCACTGTGGAGCTGTGCAAACTCTTACCAAAGTAATGAATGGCAGTGTTTAAGACATTTGGTAACCTGTGGAATTGCAACTTTACATTACCTGCAAACTGTAACTTTATGCAGTAGATCAGTAAGGGGGGAAATTGTGAGATCTGTGTGAGTTTCATTAAACATTTTTAAAGTTATTTCCATAGTATCAGAAAGGTAGATAATCAGTGTGTTGCTCAGTTGATGGGCTCGATAGATGAAGACTTTTTGAGATCAGCCTTTTATCAGCTGTGCTAAACATTGTAGACTTGTCTGCTATCAGGGATAGTGAGGGATATCGCCTTCACCTGCTTATTTGGAAAGAATGGTCTTCAAACTTGGTCTCAGCTTTGCCTGGGAGTAAATTCACAGATGGGACTGTACAAGGATGAATACATTGATCTGAAGATTTTATAGCCAAATATAATGCAATTTGCCCCAGTGGCTCAGTGAATCAAAGGACCATAATGTCAGGAGGCCAAGAGAGTCCCAGGTTTATCTTCTCAATCTGTATTAGGTTTGTGAATCTTGGGAGGGATTGAGGTGAGTCTCCACAGATAAATAATTTAATGATCACCATCTAGACTGATGATAATAATAATAATAATAATCCTTGCATTTGACATAGCGCTTTATCATGTAGTTGAGACGTCTCAAAACACTTCACAGATTATATTGTTAAGTGGATCGTGTATTTTGTGAGTGAAACAAAGAATGGTAACTTGGAACAGGTTCAGCCATCTGTGCCCATGGACAGAACCTCTCTATGCAATGGAGACCAACTTTAGGAGAGGGGTGGACAATTGCAGGAAAAGAATAAGAGGAACAGAATTTTTTATTCCATGTGAGTCCTGTATCACTTGTATAGAATGATGTAGACATGCTAGCTCTCAGATGTGACTGCACTGACTTGATGTACCACAAAAGAAGGCAGGAGTTAGGTTTAAAAGAACCACAAATGTGCTCTAAAGTGTATTAGAATTAAACTGATCTTATTGGGAGATGGGTATCTTTTTTTGGAGAAGGCAAATCATATCTATCTGTCACACCTGTGATAAGCTCATACTCATTGGAGTAAAAATTCTGCCTCTTATTATTTGTGCTGTGCTGAGTGAAATGGCATTGACAATTGAAGTGCTTTTGGAGAATGTTATGATATGTTTTGCATCCCCTTCAGAGTTTTGTTTATTTGAGATCAGTGGATAGGATTACATTTTGCCAGGTCTCTGTAATCTGATAGGATTTTCATTGTGTTATCACCAGTCATACCTGCAACAATAACTTCTTGTGTTCAAAAGCTTTTTTTAAAAAAAAACAGTTTTCAGCACTTTGGGACTTCCTCCCTACGTGAAAGGCACTGTACAAATATAATTTGTTGTTATTCAGTAATTTAGGCTGCAGAAGGTTATCATTATCTGTTGCAGCACAACTTTCTTTGCTGTAGAATGTAACTGCTGTAAAGGTTCATTCCTGTTTGTTCCAGTAACCTCAGATCGGAAAAGATTGCCTTTCAGATACAGAGGTGTAGAAGAACATTTTGTTAATAAAAATGCACAAACAGTTCAAATGATTAAGGTCTAACTAATTTGATGTAATTGACATAATAATTAATAATAATCCTTGCATTTGATATAGTGCCTTACCACGGCTTTGTGACGTCTCAAAGCGCTTGATAGAATATACCGTAAAGTGATTTGACTGTATATTTTGTGGCAGAAAGGAAATAACTGTCCTTGTATTTGGTATAGCGTCTTTAAGTTCACATTGAGTTATTTTTTTCACTGCAGGATATATGTGAGGATATTTCGGATCATGTGGAGCTGATCCACGCCCTGCTGGAGACGGAAATTTCACTCAAGCTTCTATCCTACTCGGTCAATGTCCTCGTGGACATCCACACAGTTCAGCTTCTGTGGCACCAGCTCCGTGTGTCAGTACTCGTGCTCCGGGAGAGAATTCTACAGGGCCTACAGGACTCGAATGGGAACTACACCAGGCAGACTGACATTCTTCAGGCTTTCAGTGAGGACAGGAAAGAGGTATAAAACTAACAGGTTGCTTTTCTTTCCCTCTTTATACCAGAGTGTATTCTCGTTTCTTTCCATCCATTTCAGGGTCGAAGCCAGTCTTGGGATGTCCTCCCGACATGACAGGTGCTTTATAAATATGAATTTGCATTGTATTTTTGTGCTGCAACAAGGTGAGCTCTGTCAGTGCTGGGTGTTGGAACAATTTCCAGGTGTGGACACTCAGTGTCAGCATCAAGCATTCTCAGGTCAGGATTAGCATAGATAGTGACACAGCACTGAACCTACTCATTCCCGAAAATTTCCTCTCAGTCACAGACTCCTTTGAACATCATCTTTTGTGTCTGCTCGAAATGATTCATTTTCTGCAGTAGCCATCCGACTTGGAACAGTTTGTCTGGAAGTCTATGCTCATTAGGAAACTAGATTATGACGGTTTAGCCTCACTGAATGGCCTCACAGCAAATGAAGGCAAGTACGTCAGCAGTTGTTTAAAAGATTGACCCCCTTAATGAATACAAATCCTATCAAAGTTTATTTTATAAACTCCAATATAAACTCCAATAATAAGGCAGAATCTTGTACAGAAGAAATGAGAAGCACGGATCGGTTAATAAGATTAGGTGTCATTACAGAATTTACAAATGCAGCATTTGAATTTAAATACGCAAACACCTTTAAAAAGTTCCACGTATTCCTCAGCAAAAAAAGTCAGAGTTAGTCAGCTTTATGAGCGAGCCCAGTTATTGCAGGACCTAAGGTTCCCAGCAGTGCAAAACCTTGGGCAAGTTTCCTTACTCGACACGCCTGATAATAATCCCTCAAGAAAAAAAAACCCAATAATAAATTGGTCACTTCAATCCACGACTGTTTGGGACACTGCTCTGCGCAATTGGCTGCCATGTTTCGCCCACAAATATACAGTCAATTCAGTTTGCAGTATATTCTGTGAAGCGCTTTGAGACGTCTTGAAGACATGAAAAGCGCTATATCAATTGCAAGCATTATTATAAGGTGTCTCCTCACCGAAGGTACAAACACTGTAAAGATTACTCTCTTGGCAGGAAGCAAGCAGTGCTAATATGTACAGTACGTTGATTACTCTAGGAGGATATTATTAGACCAGGCTCGTGAGATGGTCTGTTTCTGTTTTGGCTTCTGTATTGAAGTCACCAATGTCTGACAGCACTTGCTGCTTTAGCACAGCCAGAGATTTCAAGGCCACTTAAAACAAAGAACCGCTTTTGTAGATACTGTCACCCTATGGCATTTTAACACTGTGCTCTGAGCTCAGTTCCTGAACCCATCTTGTCAGCATCCATTTAAAAATACCATGAAATTGATTCTGTTCAATTCAACATGATGCTGCACCAGTGTGACTGTCGCACACAATTTTCAGTTCCTCTGGGACGATCTACTACCCATTTTTTTTACTTGTGTGTCCTGCATGAAGTTAGTGGACAAACTTGCCTTATTGAATGGAATAGTTCTAAGATATTCATACAACAAATGCCGAATAACAAAAGCCAGTATTTTAACAAGGGAATGTTCTTGTTTTCAGACCTGTCTAGACTCTCTGACGGAAGTTGACGACTCAGGTCAGCTGACCATCAAATGCTCTCAAGACTACTTATCTTTGGATTGTGGAATCACTGCATTTGAGCTGTCTGACTACAGCCCCAGTGAGGACTTACCGTGTGATTCAGAGGCCATGACCTCTAGCTCGTTTGCCTGCTCAAAGTCCAAATCCTTCGGCCATTGGAACTGTGTTGATCTACAGAAAGGATTTCCAGAGCTGGTCGGCAGTGTGGGGCTACTCTCTGTAGCAAACAGCCATTCCTGTTCCAAGCAAGAGGAAAGTAAGACAAGTGAGGAAACCCAACTGACTCCTGTGGATTGTCAGTCTTCTCCAGTGGATAGGAAAGACACTGCAGACACCAATACATCACTTAAAACACCACTACTGGCTTCACAAACCTCTCCTACAGAGAACGGGAACAGAAAGAGTTTCAATGAGAAGCCTGTCACAGGAACCGATGATTTGGTCAGGAAGAGACACAACCAAGTGCGTTCCTCGAGTGCAAAAAGCAGCCAGTGTGAAAGCTCAACACCTAAAAGGTCAATAAAAGATTGTTTCAATTATAACGAAGAGTCCCCTACGCAACCTTCGCTGCCCAAAAGAGCTTTGTATTTTGAAGAAAAGTCTAAGGATGACATGGACGTCAACTGCTGCAGAACATCACCCACTGTGCTCTTACATAAAGCAGAAATGAGCAAAAGTACACCTTCTCTACTTGATCCACCAGACAAATCCAAACTCTGGCTGGACTTGGCTTCACCTTACCCAAGCGCTGCCAGTTACTCGTACAATGCCTTGAACAACATGGGGAATAAACATGGAAATCAGAGGGTTGTCCCTTTCCAACACAATTCAAAAAAACAAGGTGTACGCCAAATTAAATCGCCTGACAAAAATCAAACAAAGTCTTCAACTGTTAATGGATCCTTTGACCTTCACAAAGGAACTCCTCGTGGGCAATCTAGCAGTGCCTGTACACTGAGCTCACCTCAATACTCTGGAGAGTCGACAGCACAAAATAGCATCTTGCCTGTATTCAAAGCTCAGAGCAACGGCTTCTCATCGTCTAGACAGGCTTCTCCATATCAGAAGGAGTCACAAACCATTGTTAACATGGATCCATATCACTCACCACATACTAAACCTTCCAGTGGTGAAAAATCTAAATACAATGAGATTTGCAACTCATTTAACTCCCAGATTCTTGCTACTCAGAGCAAGGACAGTCATGAGCAAGCTGTTCCATCTGCAGAGCTTCAAAAGCGGGAGTTAAATATTGGATCTAAAAGTAAGTCACCTGAGAGTGAAAGTATGTACGCAGCAACTGTTACAAAGGTGCCTTCGCATACTCCGCACGGGTCATCCATGGCAGAATCACTGAGTTTTCTCCCCACCGTGTCTTTGCAGCAACAGAAAAGGACAGCGAGCACTTTGAGCCCCAGTGAAACTGCTGCAAGTGATAGAAAGGAGATTTGGTTTGGATCAGACGAGTATCTAGCACTTCCATCCCACTTGAAAAAAACTGAACTGTTGGCTTTAAAGCTGGAGAATGTGACGAAGCTGTTGTCACACACACCAATGGGGGGAATTCTGCAAAACATTGATGACTGGGAGCTTTCGGAAGCCAATTCTGTAAGCGAGCTCTGCCCACCATTTCACACCAAAAACAGGAGCAGGAAAGAGTTCCTTGAGACTGGAACAATCTCTCCCTCTTCCTCCGGTGATGTGGCTCCTTCCATAGAGGACAGCATCGAATCGGGACCACTCAGTGACATCCTATCAGATGATGAGCTGTCCATCGCAGAAGTTGGTGCTGCCCATGACTCCAGACCCCACTTCCCACACCATTGGCTGACACAGCCAGCAGAGAAGGTCTCAGCTTCTACTCCAAATATATTGTCTCTGGTTAAACAGCTGCAAGAAGACATTCAGCACCAAGAGAATAACGCAGACATATGGGGAAAAATTGAGGTAAGTTATATATTTTGTACCTGTTCAGATACTTGGATTTCTGCTCATTGAGGTGTGAGGTTTTTATTGCCGGAAAATGATATGAAACACACATTTTCATCTACGACCAACAGGACCGAACACTCGCAGGTCAGGTTAGATGCAGAATAAAGTTCCTTCCACCCACACCCTCAGGAGAGTGCCACCTAAGGCACCTGACACTCAATACTTGTTAGTGCTGGGGAGTTACGCTATTCATTCAGTCAATTAAAGTGGATTGGGTATTCCAGAATGCTTTGTAGCATTATCGTCATGTTAAATGCATCTGAAGATTAGAGTCCAAAGGTGGCACTGATAGTCTGCCAAACTCATCGAGAGAGGAGTGAGGTAAGAAAATCGGCCTGGCAGAAAATAATACAACAACTTGCATTTGTATAGTACCTCTCATGCCAGGTAGCATCCCAGAGCGCTTGATTACACATTACCACCATACCACCACAAGAACTCCACCCATCACTGAAGAACAAATGAAGGAGGCAGACACATTTCTGCGTTATCTCTGACCTTGTTCCCAAATCCAATCACCCTGCACTGGGATGGTCTGGGTTGATTGGTTTCATGACTTGGTGTCATTTTGGTTCAGTTCAGTTCTATAAATGCAAGTTGTTGTTCAGTTGTGGGTTTGATCCTTAAACATCTAGGATGGCTCTGCAATGCAATGTCAGAGGGCTTGTCCTTTTGATCAAACATTAAACTGAAGTCTTGTTTGCCGCCTTCTCTCCCCCTTACACTCACTTCCTCATTGCCTCCAGATACATTAAAGATTACATGGCACTGTTTTAAAGAAGACAAGTGAATTTCTACCACTGTCCTGGCCAATATTGCTTTCTCATTTAAACTCACTGGAAAAATAACAAATCACAGGTAATTCACCTCATTGTCTGTTGGAAGTTGCAGATGTAGAGTACGTGCCATTTTTGCCCGAATTACGGTTACTGTAGAGTTTTTAAAATGTTTCATACAATGCAGGTTAGAATTATTTCCTCCTGAAACTTGTCAAACAATTCTAAATCAATAGCCCTTGGAATATAAATGTGAGCGATCATGAGGTTACACTAATTTCAGAATTAATAATTTCAGAATAATTTCAGAATCAAAGTCAGAAGATTGTGGCTTCAAGCCCACACTAGTGCAGTATCTTGGAGTACCACATTATCTGGGGTGCCATCCTTTGCATAAGATGTTAAACTGAGTTCCCATCATCTGCCTGTTCAGATGGATGTTAGAGATGCCATTGTCCGAGACAAAAAAAGAAAAGAATTTCTTCCAGTGGCCTCTGGTCAACAATCGCCAATATTTTGCCCACAAAATATACAGTCAATTCACTTTACAGTATATTCTGTGAAGCGCTTTGGGACGAGTTAAAGTTATGATAAGGCGCTACATCGAATGCAAATGATTAACAATCCCCCAGATAATATTGGTCATAGCTGTTTGTGGCCCGCTAAGATTTGTTGCGCGCAAGTGAATGCCACATTCGCCTGCAAAGTCACTACGCTTTACAGTAAAATCGCACGAAGCGCTTTGAGACGTTTCGGCAACGTGATAAGTACAAAATGCAAGGGTCGTGAATCGTGTATTTTGTCATTTGTGTGGAAAGCCTGCCCTCCTCAGGTGAGGTGGTGCACGGTCTGCTGAATGTGATGGTGACTGCAGGCCTTGGCTGCTCTGCAGTATTTCAGTGCTGCACTGCAGCGAACAAACGCCTGTGAAGTTTTGAAAGCTCGTCGGTGCCATCGCGTGGCCACCGTGTGTCACTGCACCAATTGCCGACCATGTCTCTGTGGACTGTGGGTCAGTATTTATTAGGTGGGTGTCAGAATGACCGATCCCGTTTACTTTCTGCTGAATCATAGAATTGTACAGCACAGAAGGAGGCCATTTGGCCCATCGGGTCTGTGCCGGCTCTTTGAAAAGAACTATCGAGTTCAATGCCACTCCCTCGCGCTCGCCACATAGCCCTGCAAACTTGTCCTCCCCAAACAATTATCTATATTATTGAGGAGGTGGATGACTGAACAATAGATTTAAGTGCTGCAAACATAGCATAGACTATTTCATCCCCAAATTACCATCAAACAATACATTTCAATGACCAAGAGGCAAAGAATAAGCATCAAACTATTTCAGCAGTAATAGAGGAAGAAAACCTCCAAATTCTTTTTTCAAAATAGTTATTATTTGGTTGATTTGTTCTGAGGTCAATTGACTGCAAAACCTTCTTGCTTCCTGTTTCTTTCACATGAATTCACTAAATGAGGTCTTCACCTAAGAAGTGATTTCAGCAGAACATTTGTGAGAGTAAAATTCTGATCAGTCGTGCAGTGGTGGATGATTTCCATTCCGCAGAATCCGCTACAAGCAGCGCCCACTAAACATTACATTTCTTGGCAGATTCCTTTTCTGGGGGTACTAATCCCTCCAAAAAAACAAATAAATAAGTAGTAATAATTTGGTCGCTCAATCTACGACTGCTTGTGTGATACTGCTGTGCGCAATTGGCTGCTGCGTTTCGTCCACAAAATACACAGTGGTTCACTTTGCAGTATATCCTGTGAAGTGATTTGAGATGTATCAATGATGTGATAAGGCACTATATCAAATGCAAGGATTATTATTATTAATTCTGACCCCGGGCCTCTGTTGGCTGTGTGTTTAGTTGACGTCACTCTACTCAGAAACCCCGTAGTTGAGATTGTGTGTGTGTGTGTCTCTCTCTATTCGTGTTTATGAGGGTGTCTGTGTGTCTCTTTCTCTCTATGTATCTATATGAGTGTGCCTCTCCTCCGTATGTGTGTGCTTGAGTGTCTGTGTGTGAGTGCGTCTGTGTCTCTCTCTCCTCTCTGTGTATGTGTTTGTGTGTATGTGTGTGTTTGAGCGTCTCTGTGTGAATGTGTGTCCCTCACTCCAATCGGGCCATCCAGTTTTTGTTAAACAAGAAATTAATAAAAATGCCTTGCAACGATCTATGTGTTATTTCCTCATGCTTACATGAAAAAATGTAGGTTGGCAGTAAAATGTGCCTAGATAGCACCAATCAACTTCCTGAAATGTTCAGCACAATATGTCAAATGTCTCCGCAATTTTCCACAATTCTGTCAAAAAACAAATTTCCCTGCAATTTTTGGCAAATATTTCCGCACTTATCTATTGGCCCAGCTAATAGCCATATGTTTGTTCTTCAGTTTCTCCCTAAAATGCATATTTTAAACCAAGTCTCAGCGGGAGGAAGACAGAGAGAGAATGAAATATGATTTCACCTCTTAACATATAATAACATATAATAATCTTTGCATTTGATATAACTCCTTATCATGTCGTCAAGATGTTCTCCTCTGTAATATTCACTGTTTCTAATTAATTGCATTTTGTGAAGCACTTCACACATCTCTTTTATGCGAGAAGTTTATGTGAAAATATAAATTTTACTTGAATATATTAATGCAACCTAGCGTATCCGGTAAATATAATTTCTGAGTTTAAAGTAACTTTCGTGATGTAAATCATCTCTATGTCTAAGGCCTTCTGGATTTATATCTCTGTTGCTGAGAAGATTACAGATGGCAGACTGCTCTCAGACCTTCACTGTTTCCCCATGGGCCAGCCCCTAGAGGGCATGTGATATTGCTTTGCAGGTTATCTCCATCTCCAGTGTGCAATGGTTTCTATTGTATACACAGGATCACCTTCACTGTACTTCTAAAAGCATTGTGCAGTCAAAATATATAATAGCTTCACATTCTCAGCATTCAATAGTAAATCCTGAATTCTCCCCGTTATCTGCAATATCAATTGTACAAATTGTACTACAAGACTGACTTATGATCATCACTTGAACCTCACGATTTAAGGTTAAAGGCCCTGTCTCACTTTCTGTGTCTATATGTTTATCTATTGCAAAACTCTGGGTTTATACAGTTAAATATTTCCACTTAAATGGGTAGGGTTGTCGTGTTTGTCCAGTGGTGAATGATGCTCACACTGTGTGTGTGCTGCTCTGGGACATTTCTCGTTGCTGCTTGTGAAATGTCATTGGCATATATTAGCTGCCACATTTCCCTATATTTGCAGTTTCTGCATTTGCAGATAACTCGTATGAAGTGCTGTGAGACGCTTCAATATGTGAAGGTGTTATATTGAATGCAAAAATAAGGCACTCTTCAAGGCTTCATAAATTTAACAAGGCAGTAACGCATTCAAAGGTTCTGATGATCACAGCAAAAGTGAAGATCATCTGTTTTTGCTTGTGTTACAAGTTGCACCTCCCCCTAACAAACTACAGTGGTTATTTTGTAATGTAGACATTTTTGAATAAAAACACTTTTGAAAGATTCACTTGCTGCTTAGTCGTGTTATGCAACACACAATATGCATCTTGTTTAAGAGAGCGGTGTTTTTATGTAGAGGGAGATATGACGGATTAGTCTGTAGATATACTGGACCATGTGACAAGATGGCTATGAACCCTTTCTTTTAAAAGAAAGCTGTTCAATTGTTTGAGTTGGAGTTGGATTAAGGGTTATAAGAATAAATACAGCCAGAAATAATCACATGCTGTGCATGATGTGACGGTTCCTGTACTACTGGGACCTTGGAAATGTCATGTCAAGAATGAATAATGTAGGTTCGAAGGATGGATAGGTATTCTGGAGTTCTGCTTGATTTATCTGGTGGTGGGCTAGTGAGATACTTTCTAACCCTCTGCTCAGAAAATGAAATGGTTGGCTAGAATTTGTAATTGAGTAAATTACACCTCATCTGTGAAAGGAAGGGTCCAATGGTCTTTTCTTGTTCATTGCTTTCTTGTGGATGGGCAGGCGAGAGGAACTGATGGGCTCCTCCTGCCTGAAATTGTTGCTGTGTGATATAGCGAAACACTGTTAAATCCACTGCAGAAAATATTGAGCATATTTAATGTAAAATAATTTGCAGCTGATTAGATTAACATGCGTTCATTGCAT